TGGGATAGTTGAGTGTTGCTCCATTTAGCTTTTCGCTAAAGTATGCCACGGGTCGTTTCTCCTGCATCAAAACAGCTCCAATACCCACACCGGATGCATCACATTCTATTTCAAATACCTTGTCAAAGTCGGGAAGGACTAAGACGGGTGCCCTCGTGAGTTGCTCCTTTAACATGTTGAATGCCTTCTCTTGCGCTTCTCCCCACTCGAATGGCTTATCTTTCTTGATGATGGACGTAAGAGGGGCTGCAAGGCTGCTAAAGTCACGAACAAACCGACGGTAGAAGCTCGCCAAGCCATGGAAGCTCCGCACATGTCCGACGGTTGTAGGGGTTGGCCAATCTCGGATTGCTTTGATCTTTTCTTCATCTACACGTAACCCCTGCGAACTCACAACAAATCCGAAAAAGACAACCTCATTAGTGCAGAATGTTCACTTCTTGAGATTAGCATAAAGTTTCTCTCTTCGGAGAGTCTCCGTGACTAGCTCAAGATGTGTCACATGATCAACAAGACATTTGCTATAAATCAGAATATCATCGAAATAAACCACAACGAATTTACCAATGAAGGCTCGTAGGACATGATTCATGAGCCTCATGAATGTACTTGGTGCGTTGGTTAAGCCGAAAGGCATGACTAACCATTCGTACAGCCCATGTTTTGTTTTGAATGCAATTTTCCATTCGTCCCCTTGGCGCATTCTGACTTGGTGATAGCCGCTTGATGCGGAACCGAGGACCTTTGCTCTAACTAGGCGGGTGGAGACCACGACCTCTAACCAACCGGTAGGAATCAACCTTGGCACAAGTCTAAAGACTGCCGCGACCTAGACCTAACGCCGTGATTAGCAACCTTGGTATGCGAAGGCGCCACAAACGGTTATGACTGTCCGTTTGATAAACCGGGTGAACGCCACAGATAGAAATCCGATAAGTTCGAAAATAGTTCACAAAGAACTAAAAGAGAATACTCTCACAAGTTTGATTGATGAAATCTGTGTTTACAAATGAGTTTAGTTCACCTATTTATAGGAGAACCAAGACAATACCAAAAGACATAAGAAAACTACAATAAGTGCTAGTCTTCCTAAAACTTTGGAATTATTGGAAAAACAAAGCCATAATTGTGTTGGACTTTGACTTGAGTAGATTGGAAGCAACATTAAAGGCTTGAAGACTTGAATTTGCAGAATTTGTTTGGCATTTTCGTCATGGACTTGGGCTGCAACATTTGGGCCTTCATTTTGGGCTTTCTACACTTGATATCATGTTGCAAATGGGCTGGACTTGTGTGTGACTTGATCCAATGTCATTTTCCATGTGTTCTTGGCCCAAACAGTCAAGAAAGAGCCCGTTTAGAGCAGCTTGAAATTTCCTCGCTTTTGATCTCGTCATTGGTCCATCCGGCAAGACGACGCGATCCATGTTGCTTTCGATGTCCTCATCATTCCCCTCCTCTTGAAAAGGATTTGCCCTCAAATCTGTCTCTGCATAAAAACGAGTCAAGTCACTAACGTTGAAAGTTGAACTGATGTTATACTCACTCGGAAGATCGATCTTGTATGCGTTGTTATTGATTTTCTCCAAAACTTGGAATGGTCCAACTCCCCTAGGCATCAGCTTTGATTTTCTTTCCTTTGGGAATCTTTCCTTACGCATATGAATCCAAACCCAGTCGCCAGGTTCAAAAATCACTTCCTTTCTTCCTTTGTTGGCCTGTCTTGCATATTGCTCCGTCTTCTTTTCTATGTTCAACTTGGCTGTCTCATGAATCTGCTTAACAAACTCAGCTTTTCTTTTTCCATCAAGGTTAGCATGTTCAGAAAATGGCAAAGGAATCAAATCCAATGGAGTCAAAGGATTAAAGCCGTAAACAATTTCGAAAGGTGAAAAGTGAGTAGTGGAGTGAACTGATCGGTTGTAAGCAAATTCGACATGAGGTATGCATTCTTCCCAAGTTTTAAGATTCTTTTTCACAATGGAACGCAAGAGTGATGATAGAACACGATTCACAACTTCAGTTTGTCCGTCAGTTTGTGGATGGCAAGTTGTAGAGAACAGCAACTTAGTCCCAAGTTTTGACCATAACGTTTTCCAAAAATAACTCAAAAATTTGACATCACGGTCAGAAACTATAGTCCTAATGATGCACGCTTCGATCCAAGGGTTGATACACTCGGGATGGAAGGTTGATCCGAAGCCAATCACCGGCCTTAAAGGCGCTCGAACTCAGCTTACGGTTGAAAAGGATGGGTGGATCGGTGACACCACAAGAGGAGATGGAGAGTCCTCCTGATATCGTCACAATAGATCCTCAAAAGAAGGCGACATACGCACAACTTAGGAGGACTGAGACTCGGACACACCGAGAAGATAAAGAATCAGACATACCGAATTCTAAAGAAACTCAATTTTCTTTTTATTCCATTTCCAAAGTCTCCTTAAACAAGTCTACAAAGATCTCCTTATATAGGATTACAAATGTCAACAAGATAAGGTAAAAAGATCAAATCTAAATCAAATCGGATCATATCTAAATAAAATCAAATCAGATCATATCTAAATAAAATCAAATCAGATCAAATCTAAATTTGATTATATCTAAATTAAATCTAATTGAAATCAGATTTAAATCCTTCGTGATCTTGAGTTGAATCCAAATAAGGAAGCTTTGAGATTTCTTCGTTTCTTCTTCTTCAAGCAATGTCATGTCCGCATCACCTAGGCATTCCATGCAATCGAACTACTTCTCGAAAGAACAAAGAAGCGATATTAGATGCATCATCGGTTTTGTGACATGGAATGAAGTGTGCCATTTTTGAAAATCTATCCACAACAACGAAAATCGAATCTTTACCAGTCCTTGTCCTAGGCAACTCAAGCACAAAATCCATGGATAAGTCGATCCAAGGCTCACTAGGAATTGGTAGAGGAGTATACATACCATGCGGTTGAAGTCGGGACTTGGCCTTTTTGCATGTAATGCATCCACTACAGATCTTTTCGACATCTCTTTTCATGTGAGGCCAAAAGAAATGCTCCTTCAAAACCGAAAGTGTTTTTGTTATTCCGAAGTGACCCATTAATCCACCACCGTGAGCTTCCCTAACAAGCAATTCTCTCATGGAGCAATTAGACACACAAAGTTTATTTTCACGAAACAAGTAGCCTTCGTGCCTAAAGAACTTTCCACTAGCAGTCATCGCACAAGATTCATACACATCTTTAAAGTCATGATCATTAGCATAAAGCTCCTTGATGTGTTCAAATCCCAGCATCTTAGCATCAAGAGTAGAGAGCAAAACGTACCTTCTTGACAACGCATCGGCAACGATATGTTCCTTACCTTGCTTATATCGAATGACATATGGAAATGTCTCAATGAATTCTACCCACTTGGCATGTCGTTTATTCAACTTGTGTTGGCCTTTTAGATGCTTCAAAGATTCATGATCGGTGTGAACCACGAGTTCCTTAGGCCACAAGTAATGTTGCCATGTTTGCAAAGCGCGAACCAATGCGTAAAGCTCTTTATCATAAGTTGGGTAGTTCAACGTTGCTCCGTTCAATTTCTCACTGAAATAAGCAATTGGTCGTCCTTCTTGCATGAGAACAGCTCCTATTCCGACACCTGAAGCATCACACTCAATTTCGAACGTTTTAGAAAAGTTAGGCAAAACTAATAAGGGAGAATTAGTTAGCTTGTCCTTTAACAACTCGAATGCGCATTGTTGATCTGTTCCCCATTGAAATCCAACGTTCTTCTTGATCACTTCAGTAAGTGGGGCTGCGATTGTGCTAAAGTCCTTTACGAACCTCCTGTAGAAGCTAGCTAAGCCATGAAAGCTTCGAACTTCTCCAACACCTTTAGGACTCGGCCAATCTCGGATGGCTTGCACCTTTTCTTTATCAACCTGAATTCCTTGTGCCCGTTTAGAGCAGCTTGAAATTTCCTCGCTTTTGATCTCGTCATTGGTCCATCCGGCAAGACGACGCAATCCATGTTGCTTTCGATGTCCTCATCACCGCTTTTTAAATCTACCTTTGAGAAGATAGTGGCTCCACTAAGCTCGTCCAACATGTCGTCCAAACGCGGGATAGGATGTCGGTATTTGACTGTGATATTGTTGATAGCCCGACAATCCACGCACATCCTCCATGTTCCATCTTTCTTCGGGACGAGTAAAACGGGAACTGCACATGGACTCAAACTTTCACGAATATAACCCTTTTCCAATAACTCTTGTACCTGTTTTTGTAGCTCTTTGGTCTCTTCGGGGTTCATTCGATACGGGGTCTGTTTGGAAGAGGTGCTCCCGGGATCAAATCGATTTGATGCTCGATTCCTCTCATTGGTGGTAGCCCCGGTGGAGTTTCTTCCGGAAATACATCCTTAAACCGCTCTAGAATCCGTGTGATCTCGGAAGGAAGCTCTTTCTCTTCGAATCCTGTACTCAAAACATCTTTAAAGACCATGAGTAGCTCGTTCATCAACCAAAGCTTTACTTACCATGCTTAGTTTGACATAGAAATTCGGTTTCTTGCTATCCTCAACTTCCTTAGACAATCTCAATTGCATTTCATGTATTTGTAAAGGGCTAAGAGGTGCTAATGAGATCTTACGCTTGTTAAACATGAAAGAGTAGTGATTTGTCCTACCATCATGCTTAACCTCTCGGTCGAATTGCCATGGTCTCCCAAGGAGAATATGACCAGCTTGCATAGGAACCACATCGCACATTACCTCATCTTGGTATCTCCCAATGCTAAACGAGATTTTCACCCATTCATTCACCTTAAGCTCTCCTTGGTTGTTCAGCCACTGTAACTTATAAGGGTGGGGATGCTTTTCCGTTTCGAGCCCTAGCTTCTTCACCATGTAAACACTAGCAACATTAGTGCAGGAACCACTATCTATGATTAACCCACATACCTTGTTCTTCACGGTACATCGGCTGTGAAAAATGGCTTCACGTTGTGCTGTTTCTTCTGGGGTAGTCATGGCCGTGTGACAAGTAGCTCCCCACTATCCGGATACTCAACTTCTTCTTCCAGATTTTCAGCCTCTTCCTCATCCAAAGAATCATAATCTCCAGCCTCGGTGATGACCATTACACGCTTGTTTGGACAATCACGAGCATAATGTCCTCGACCCCTGCACTTGTAACAAAGAATCTCGTGGCTCGGAGTGTTAGATTTGTTACTTACAGAAGTTTCACCTTTGGATGTTGCAATGCCGTTTCCTTTGTTCTTTGGATCCTCCTGAATAGGTTTTGAGGTGGGCATGTTGTGTCCTTTGCTCTGGGTTCTCGGATACACATTGCTAGGCATTCTGGACCGGATTGTCCTAGCTTGTTTCTTGTGTATCTGCTGCTCTATTTGCACAGCAAGATGTAAAAGGTCATGAATATCATGGTAAACTTGTCTTTCTACCTTTCTTGCAATGCGTTCTTGTAGTCCGTCTAGGAATTGAGCCATAACAGTCTCATCATCCTCTTCTATCTCTAATCGATTCCGAAGATGCTCAAACTCCTCAAAGTAGTCTTCAACCGATCTGTTACCCTGCGCCAACTTACGATATCGTCTATGTAAATCCCGATGGAAATGTGGTGGAACATACCTCTTTCTCATGAGATGTTTCATTTCCCTCCAGGAGATTATTGGATCATAGTGAGAACGTCTCCTTTCGGCTATTTCTCGATCCCACCATGTGAGTGCATTGTCCGTGAGTTGAGCCGCCGCGTATTGAACCTTCCTCTGTTCGGTATATGTATAGCAATCGAAAATATTTTCCATCCGCCTCTCCCAATCGAGATAAGCTTCAGGGTTAACTTTACCAGCAAAAGTAGGAGGTTTGAGTTTCAAATCTGTACCTTGGTGTCTTTGAATTCGTGGTTGCCTCCTAGGTACATCCTCCTCATCACT